ATGAAAAAAATTCTGGACTTTGAGTAAATAAGGATTATTTTAAAGCATATTCATTAACATATTATAATGATGGATTTAATATTTATTTTCTCCAGGATGAGGATCCTTCCTGGCTGCCTTCATTTCTACTTCATTCCTTTCTTACTCAGCAGAGCACATGGATTCCTAACGTGGAGAACAATTCCACCCTTCCTGGTTTATAACTACTCCTATTCAAATCTCTCCTCTGTCTCAGAAGCACAAGCTCCGAAAACAGCAAGAGCTCTCAATTTCTCACACAATGTCATCGAAAAAATTACCAAGAGAGACTTGGAAGGATTTGACTGGCTGGAAGTTCTGGACTTTTCCTACAATCAGATCAGGGCTGTTGAGCCTGGAGCTTTCCAGAGTCTGCTCAGTCTGGTTTCTGTGGATTTATCATTTAATGATCAAAAGCTGCTTCTGTCAGATCTCCCACCCCACCTGAAGCTCTCACCCACTGGCAAAGCTCTGGGGTCTTTGCAGCTTTCTAGGAATTCTGGCAAATCCTCAGGGGCTGCTCTGGAGCCTTCTGCTCCCACTGAGAAGCTGTCACGTTCTGGAGTTCTGTCTCTCCTGCAAATCCTTAGCCCCAGGCTCAGGAGAAGCACAGGGAATATTCTTCGAAGGGGAGAGAGGAACACAACAGCCCTTCCCACGGCCACACCTGAGCCCACCCTCTGCGGAACTCCCATCAATGGGACACTCGACCTGTCCCACAGCAACCTCACCCAGGATGAGCTGATGGTAAAACTGGATGAGAACCTCTGCCAAGCCCAGCTGGGCAGGATTTTGGAGCTTGACATCAGTCACAACAATGTGGAAATGGATCTTCTGTCTCTGATTTCCCTGTTCTTCCCAATGGAAAACACTCTGTCCATCGACGCCAGCTTCAACAAGTTAACCATTAACATCTTGGATGCTGAGTTCTTCTGTAAGTTCCCATCCCACCAGCTTTTGTTCCTAAACATCAGCAACAACCCCATCAACAGTCTGGATATGCTGTGCCTCCCTCCCAGCATCAAGGAAATTGATTTGTCCTTCACCAACATCAGCCGAATACCCCTGAATTTTGCTGCAAAACTGTTTAACTTGGAAAAAATGTATGTTCAAGGAAACCATTTCATCTACACAGCATTCCCAGAAAGCGGGAATATGCTTCCAATGTGTGCCCCTCCCCCTGGAACCATACACATCAGTGCCATCTCCTTTGTCAGGAACGAGGCTGGGACACCCATTGGAAGCCTTCCCGAGAAACTGAAACACCTGGAGATGTCCAACTGCTCCATTGTGGAACTGCCAGAGTGGTTTGCTGACACAGTGGAAGAACTGTTATTTCTGGACCTCAGCAGCAACCACATTTCTGTACTTCCCAATTTCCCACCCTCCCTGCAGCATCTCGACATCAGCAACAACGACATCAAAGTCATCCACCCCAGCCTGAAATCCCTCTCCAGCTTAACTGTATTTAGGATTCAAAATAACAAAGTTGTGGATATACCCATGGAGTATTTTCCATCAGCCTTAAAAAAATGTGATTTTAGTAAAAACAAGGTGAAGGTGTTGTCCTTAACTTCTGTCCTGGAGAAGCTGGAACATCTCAATGTTTCTGGGAACCAGATCACACGTCTGGAGCCTGCCGGCCGCCTTCCTGCACTGAGCAGCCTGGACAGCAGCCACAACCTGATCCCTGAGCTGCCCGATGCCTTCGGGGAATCCCTCCCAGGGCTCAAGTATTTGAATCTATCAGGGAATAAGATCTCCTTTCTGCAGCGTGGCTCTCTGCCAGCTTCTCTGGTCGAGCTGGACATCAGTGACAACGCCATCACGACCATCGTGGAGGCCACGTTCGGCCCGCTGACGAGCCTCAGGGTTCTGACTGTTCAAGGGGAGCATTTTTTCTGCACCTGTGACCTGTACTGGTTCGTGAACGTCTACCTCCACGAGCCCCAGCTGGAGATCAGGGGCAGGGGGGCCGTGAGGTGCAGCTTTCCCCCAGAGCGCCGGGGCTCGCTGGTGGGCAGCAGCCGCCTGACGCTGCTGCGCTGCTCCCTGGGTGTCCAGCTGGCCGTGACCGCCGGCGCCGCCGGCCTGGCCGTGCTGGCCCTCACCGCGCTCTGCTGGCGGCTGGACGGGCCCTGGTACATCAGGATGGGCTGGTACTGGTGCATGGCCAAGAGGAAGCAGTACGAGAAGAGGCCAGAAAACAAACTCTTTGATGCCTTCGTCTCGTACAGCGAGCACGACGCCCACTGGACCAAAGAGAACTTGCTGGAAAAGCTGGAAAATGACGGGTTCAGGATATGTTACCATGAGAGGGATTTCAAACCAGGGCATCCTGTGCTTGGGAACATTTTTTACTGCATAGAGAACAGCCATAAAGTGCTTTTTGTTCTCTCTCCCAGCTTTGTGAACAGCTGCTGGTGTCAGTATGAGCTGTATTTTGCTGAACACCGGGTCCTGAATGAAAACCTGGATTCCCTCATCATGATTGTGCTGGAAGATCTTCCACCCCACAGCGTCCCACAGAAATTCAGCAAACTCAGGAAACTGCTGAGAAGGAAAACCTACTTGAAGTGGAGCCTTGAGGAACACAAGCAGAAAATGTTCTGGCATCAGCTAAAAGCTGTCCTAAAAACAACCAACGAGCCGCTGGTGAGAGCGGAGAATGGATCCACTCTGGAACTGCAGGAGCTGGAATGAGATCCAGGGAACTCTGAGGGCTGTGCCTGGAAAGTATGTGCTCAGAGAAAAGCATTTACCTCCTGCAATGGCTGCTGTGATGGCCAGGGGTTTGTCTGGGTCAGTCCCAGGAGAGGCTCCTAGGGGGACTGCAGCACACCCATTATTCCCTCTGATAAAGAATCCTGAAGGGATGAGGCCTGGGCACTGATAAAAAGCCTTTTCCTGCTGGATGCTTGAATTTGTTCAGCTATTCCCAGCATTTCTGTAAAGTGCTGTGGATGTCACCTGAAAGGAAGAACTGCTCAAGTCACACCGCATGTCCTTGCTGCCTTCCTGAGGTGGTGGCAGTGAGAAGCAATTTCTTAGGACAGGACTACAGATTCCTGGTTCTGGGACAGCTTAAGGTGGGAGCACATCCTGTGTGCAGGTATGAGACCCACAAACCACGCTGCTACATGGGAGCAGCTCCTTTCTGTGCTTTGGCAAGGAAAGATTAAAGATTGACTTAATTTAGCCCTCCCAGAGAGGCTAAACCCACACTGCTACAGACTTCAGGTTCAGTGACTGCTGGAAGGGACGAGACTTGAAAATCTTCTGTAAATTCAGAATAAAATATAAAACCAAACAGTACAAAAAGGATCAGCTGAGTGTGGTGGTCTCTGCTGTTAAATAACTGGGGTGAGCTTTGTTTAATCACAAATCTCTGGAGAATAAGCAAGTTCTGTACATTATTATTTAGATTTAGGAAAGTTCCACCTTACACAGCCACCCTGACCCATTTCCAATGGATTCAGTGCTACCTCTGCATGGTCCTTGCCCTCACCTAGTGCCACTTGATAATTTTATTTATTGTGTTTGGGAAAAAACTAAAATAAATTCAGCTGATCCAACTTTCACATTCAAGGGAAATCACCAGACTGTGACAAAAATAAACACCAGGTGAGGACAAATGCTTTGATGCAGCACAACTTGAACTTGCTCCTATGATGAGCAAACACAAACAACTTCCCAGTAGGAAATCCCACATCCAGGAATGCAGCATGTTTGGAACACAGACTCTGAAAAGGAATTGGCTGTGACAAAACAAGACCAATACCAACCTATTTGCTGCCAAAAGGGGGAACATGCAACAAACATCTCCACTGACAGAGATCCCTTGGAACTCAGTGCAAACCCAGCTTTCCTCAGCAAAATGATTTGGCATCATCAGCTTTGAGGTTTCACATATTAGGATAAAACCCACAATCCTGCAGGCCAGCAACTGAAACAGCCAACTCTTTTCACTGCAGAGATTTAGGGCTTAAAAAGACTGGGAATTATAAAAATATTACATATATATTTGTTCATTTAAGCAACCAGAAGTCCCTTGCTTATGAGATTAATGAGCCCAAATTAATTAATCAGTTGTTTTCTAAGAGCCTTTAGGCTTTCCTCTTTCTAAAGCACTCAGTGGTCACATTTCTCACTTCCTCTCTTCCCACCTCCACATTCCGCTGCTTCCCTCTCAATTCCATTGCTGCTTGTTAACCTTGCAGTGACTCTGTACTGGAGCTTTACTGGTTCTGTACTGGTTCTGTGTTCAGCAGGCTTCTGATAGAAGAGGCTAAGGGGAAAAAAAGGAGAAGTTATACTCCAGAAGAGTCTAAACCAACTATTTTATCAAAAACTTGGTTACTTCAGTCCATGATTCACTGCAAAGTTGTACCTGCTTTCAAATTCCAATGTCAATTTACTACATCCATGAACCTCCCACAAAACAGCCATTTAGTACAGCTGGCAACTTAAATAAGGTTTTGTTCCTCCTGCAGATGAAAAGGTGTTGCACTTTCCTGTCTGGCACTATGATACTGTACAAATTAACACCAATATTAATTACACAGGTGGTGTTAAGGGCACAGCTGGCACCGGGAGTTAACAGAGAGCAAATTACAAAGAGCTTTGATGGGACTTCAGTTCTTTTGTCACATAAAAGCAATAAAACCTCCTGCTTGGCCCCTTCTTGCTTTACTCCCATGTGAATACTCAATGCAAATGTTTTATGAGGTGTGAGCGGTTTAATTTTGAAACATGAGATGAAATTCATGTGATCTAAAGGCACAGGAGAAGTTACACAAATACACAACAAAGCCCCAAAACTGCCTCATGTATATGCTTCCCTCCAGTACAATTTGTACTGAAGAACAATTCAAATACAGAACAGTCAAACAAGATCTTCTCATTATCTTTTGTACTTAGTTTAGAAAAAAAAAACATTCTTTTTGAGAAAAAAAACCCTGGGCAGAGAGAAAAGACTTATGGAAATAATTTCCATTTTGCATTTGTATTAGAAAGTTGTTCACACTAATTTTATTGCAAGAAAGCTGGTTTGAATTATTCAGAATTAATTCATATTCAGTGTTAAACAAAGAACAGTGTTCCAGGAGAATCTTGGGAAGAGTTTAGTTAACAAAAAGCCTGAACCAACAACTCACAGACAGCAACGATGTGGACATTTTTTGTTCCTAAAGTAACAAATCACGTTCCCATCACTGTCATTTTTCTGAAGATGTGGCACTTTCCTATAGCAAGGTATCAAAAGCCTGTGGCACAATTATTTTGGAGACACTGAGGCTCTGCTGAAGTCCACAGAAGCTGAAAGGTGATTGCTTGTTTGGAAGAGATCTGGCCACTTAGGGCAAGAAGTGTAAGGAATTTAAATGCCCCTGAATTGTTCTGTCTCCCATGGAATTCCCACAATAAGATACAACACAACTGGGTGAATTTATAAAAAAATAATTAACTTCTGTTACTTGCTTGCTGTGTAGACCAACAGACAAAATTTCTAAGCAGACAGATGAAACTGATGTTAGACTTAACAAAACCTCAAAAACTTGTCATTCTGGTTTTAGAAATGTTAACAGCTGTCAGTTCTTCTCGTCAGGAATAGCCAAATCACAGTTTATACAAAGTCATGGGCAAAAAGAGCAAGCAGCAACACGACTCTGTGCCTGACAGCTGACCAGTTAGGGAATTCCAGAGGTGACTCTGCTCCTCCTGGTGTATCAGTCACATAATACTGCAAAATTCATCTTTATCCTCAAGTAATGCAAATAATTCAGTAGCACGTGGTTATTTCTATCAGATGTAAAACACTTCTCCAAATAATTTGGGGATACAGAATGCCACCATCATTAAAACCAATGTCCAGCAGATATATACTGCAGAGGTTTATCCCAGTGCCACACTTCCCAAATGTCCCTCCCCAGTGGAAATATAACATTGACCAAACAAAGCCTTGTCCCACTTGAAGAAGCCAAAACTGAAATCCTGAACTTCAGCTGAGTTCATAGAAATTTTGCCATTTACCTCAACAGAACCACGGTTTCACCCCTTGAAGATAAAGGACTTTTGTTATTACTGGAAAACATTGGTTCTTCCAACCTTCTGCAACGGGAAGAGTTTAAACTCAGTTACAACCAAGCATCTTTCCCATTCTTCCTTCCTGAATATACAAGGTATTTTATTATATTATATTACTATAATACTCGGCATTATCATGGAATGGTTTGGGTTAGAAGGGACCTTAAAGATGATCCAGTTCCATCCTCTGCCACAGGCAGGGACACCTTCCCCTATATCCCAGGTTACTTTCAGCCCTGCCCAACCTGGCCTTATGACATAATAAACCACATAATCATGGCATCTAGGGTTTTTTCTACTTGCCCAGCAGTAAAAATGAGTAACAAAACCACCCTCGTGCAACAATCCCAAATCTAAAATATCCCCCTTGTTGGCTCTCCACGGGAACTCCAGAGCGCGTCACGGAGGCGACAGCTCCGCGTTCGCCTCAAACGCAAACGGGAACGGTGTTTCTATCCATCGGCAGCAGTATCATGGAGAATGGAGCAATTCCTCCCTGAAGCAGAGCAGGGGACCCTCTGGAAGGGCTGGCCGCTGCCAAGGCTACACGGAGGGCAGCGGTATGTCCCGCCCTGCGCTGCCGGAGGGATGGAGCGCAGGGATGCAGGGCTTGGCGAAGGCGAAGCCCGCGGGCTGCAGGCTGTGTGGAGTGCTCACCTCCGCCGAGGGGCTGCTGTTGTACACGCTGTAGTAGGGCTCGATCCGCGTGTTCATGGGCGTGGAGCTGCTCTGCCCGTAGTGCTGCTGCCCCGCAGACGCCTTGGGACTCAGCACGCTGTCCTTGGAGTGGCTGGCACCGCATGCCTGCTCCAAACCCTTCTTCTGAGGCTTTGGAGACAACATGTAGGCTGAGTTGGTCTCGTGGTGGGACGACTTGTTCCTGTTGACCTCCAGGCTGCCTTTGCCCATGGCTCGAAGCCTCGTCTTGTGCTTGCAGCAGAAAAAGACCAGGGCCACGTACTGCAGGCACCAGAGCACGCGTCTCCGCAGCCCCGCGCTATTGCGGGAGTATATAAAGGGATTTAATCCCGACTTGAAAAAAATGAGCGTAAACCCACACAGCTCAAACTGGTAGAGCACAAAGCCACCGCTGCCGGACAGCATGTCCTGCACCAAGGAGATGGCCAGGGGCAGGCAGCACACCAGGACGGAGAGCACGATGACCACGCACGTCACCACCGCCTTGGAGTCTTTGGCTGTGGCCAGGTTGACGGCCGAGGCCAGCGGGAGCCGGCCGGCGAGCTTGGCATGGCCGTGGGGTGGCTTGGTGCAGCTCTGGGTCCTGTACAGGGCGGGCACGGCCTCGGGCCCAGCGAAGGGCTGAGCCCTGGGGGTGCCCACGGCCACCGCGGGCGGGCCCTTCCTCGCCCGCGCGTTCCTGCGCAGGGCCTGGGCGATCATCACGTAGGACACGGACACCACGGCCACGCAGCAGATGAAGTCGGTAACGTAAAGGTAGAGGATGAGCCTGCCCTGTCCGCTGGGCAGGCTGGCCATGGGCAGGCAGAGGCGGGAGCCGCGGCTGCGGAGCGTGGCCAGCGTGGCCAGGGTGAAGCTGGCGGCCCAGAGCAGCAGCGTGAGCAGCAGCGAGCAGGGCGCGGAGGCGGCGCGGTGCGGGTGCTTGCCCAGCACCATGCGCAGCCGGTGCAGAGCGATCACCGCCACCGTCTTGAGCGACATGATGATGAAGCCGGAGCTGGTGAGGTGGAAGGTGAAGCAGAAGGTGCCGGGCACGCCGCGGGCCGGGCCGAAGAACAGGACGAAGGCGAACATGGGGGCGGCCACGCCGCAGATGAAGAGGTCGCAGAAGGAGAGGTTGAGGATCATGAAGTCGAAGTCGGTGCGGAATTTCCGGAGGGCCGGGTCGAAGAAGGAGAGCAGCACGATGAGGTTGCCGTAGGAGCCGAGGCAGAAGACGAGGGCCAGCAGGGAGGCGCAGGCGGCCAGCGTGGCGGCGTGGGTGCCCTCCCGCAGCTCCGCGGGGCCGCTGCCGTTCGTGCCCAGCTGCTCCGCGGGCCCGGCCGGCAGCCGCCCTGACCCGTTCATCGCCGCCCGGCCCCTTCACAGCCCGCTCATCGCCGCCCGGCCCCTTCACAGCCCGCTCATCGCCGCCCCGGCCCCTTCACAGCCCGCTCATCGCCGCCCCGGCCCCTTCACAGCCCGCTCATCGCCGCCCCGGCCCCTTCACAGCCCGCTCATCGCCGCCCCGGCCCCTTCACAGCCCGCTCATCGCCGCCCCGGCCCCTTCACAGCCCGCTCATCGCCGCCGCGGGGCTCCCGCCTTGCCTCTTCACCGCCCCCTCATCGCCGCCTCAGGGCTCCCGCCCGGCCCCTTCACCGCCGCCTCAGCGCCGCCCGCCCCGCCATGGCGGCCGGCCCGGCCCCTCCCCGCTCCGGTGCGTTCCCTCCGCCGCGGCGGGGACAGAGCGGCGGGGACAGAGCGGCGGGGACAGAGCGGCGGGGATAGCCGGCGGGCACGGGCGGGCCTCGGGGAGGCGGTACCGAGCTCCCCAAAGCCCCGCTGGCGCTGTATCCTCACCGCTCCAGCTCGGTGAGCAGCGGCGATGCGAGCGGGTGGAGCAGCGGCGAATGTGGTCTAGAGCATCATGGAAGGGTTCGGGTGGGAAGGGGACCGCAAAACCATCTCGTTCCTCTCCCTGCTATGGGCAGGGACACCTTTCATTTGCCCAGGTTGCTGCAAGGCCCCTCCAGCCTGGCCATGGACACTCCCAAGGTAGCCACAGCATCCCCGAGCAGGGCCTCACCAACCTCACAGGAAAGAATTTCTTTCTAATGTCTAATCTGAACCAACTTTCTTTCAGTTTGAACCCATTTTCTCTTGTCCTGTCACATGCCCTTGTAAATAGTCTTGCCTCATCTTTCCTTTAAGTTCCCTTCAGGTACTGGAAGGCTGCAGTTAGGTCAGCCTGAAGCTTCTCCTTTCCAGGCTGAACAACCCAAATTCTCTCAGCTTTTCCTCACAGCAGAGCTGCTCCATCCCTCTGATCAGCTTGGTGGCTCCTCTGGACTCGCTCTAACAGTTCCTCCCTGTACCAGGGGCCCAGAGCTGGATGCAGTGTTCCAGGTAGGATCCCCCCAGAGCAGGGGATCTGTGCACCAACAAAACACCTGCCTCAACCCAAAACCTGTTCAGCATCAACATCAAAGTTCTGCATGCTGCTCTTGCCCTGCTTGCACTTCTGCATCACCTTCCTGAGCCAGCTCAGTGGGGCCAGGCTGCCCTTTGTATTCGCTCAGAAGCACAGGATCTAAGGCCAAGCATCTTCTGTGTTCCCAACAGGAGGGAAAAGAATCAGCATCATTTATCTCTTAGCTGCCAACTGCTATCACAAACATTGTAGTGATGGAGAGCTGAGCATTAAAGGGATGGTTCTGAAGTACTTACAGGGATGTGAGGGTGAGGAAACGCTCAGTGCACATTCTCTGAATGAGGCAGACACAGCTGAGGGGCCTCCACAGCACTGGAAATCCAGGTGGAAGAGACCAAAATCCAGCCAGGCAAGGCACAAAAGCCCTGTGAAAACACAGGAGAGCCAGTATTTCTGACTTATGCATGCACTTGTCTTAAAATCTTTATATATACCTTAATGTATTGTTTTAATAACCTACCCCAGGTGGTTTGTAGAACCATCCAGATAGCCACAAGTGTGCAAGTTTGATACCTGAAAGCTTCCCAGTGCCTCTTTATTTCTCAATATTCCTTTCTAAACCCCAGAGCAATGTTTTTATAACCCTCTGGTGACAGCAGCCTGGCCTGTGAGCCTTGCCCTGCTAAACACACTCCCAGTGGCAATGGGAATGGATTTTTCTGGGGGGAAATGCCAGCAGTTAGCTGCAGAAGTGCTTTACAACATGGGCAGATGCATTGTGTCTTGGTTTTGTCATAAAACTGGTTGTGTACATGAGGGGGAAGGTTCAAAACCCAAAACATGGTTTCCTGTAGCTTTAAATCATGTCCTCTCTCAGCTTGGCTTGTCTCTTATTTTTCCTTGTATTTTTGTTCTCCAGTCATGGTTAATTTGAAATCTGTGGGTGAATCTTGGCCCTCCTGAGTAAGAGTTGCTTTTTCATTGACAAACTGGGACAAACTCCCTCCTTGAATTTTCTTATTTAAAAACATCAGAGGACACTGAATTATGGGATTCAACAAGAGTGACAAGGTGTTAGCCTAATGCAAAGTTTGGTTGTTTTACCCCTCTACAGTTATTAACTGTGGTTTGAAATGGAGGGGAAAGTGTAGCTGGTTCAAGCCTGAAAGCCTTAAACATTCCAGCAGAAAATGAGAAGGGATTGTTCTCAGGGAGCAAGGGAATGAGCTGAGGCAAAAAGGAGCACAAACCCTGCCCAGCCCCTTTGGCACAGCAAAATTTGTCATCAGTGTCCCTTTTAAAAAGGACTTTTTAGCTTTTAAAAGATTTGCCAAAGTTTGCGTGGGGGAGAAAAGCAGTGGAAGAAAGTGTGTTTTGCAAGGTAAGAATCACAAGAGCAAAACTTAGCTTGCACAAGGTACAAGGGCATTTACTCTTTGCAGCACTCAAGCCTTTCCTTAAACTAATTCCTTAAAAATCCAGTGCTCTCTAGACCCATCAAGCTTCTCATTGTTCAGTCTTGGATTCCTACTGCATAAGGAGAAACAATGTTACCAAGACATTTTTGACAAGTGTTCTTTTGCAGATATTGACTGGAAATTACTTTTAATTGTTGGAATCTGCTCTCATCTCAGCCTAAGATTTGTATCTTATGATTTTAACAAAAGATTTCTAGGGGAAAGCAGCTGGAATAATAAAAGGGGAAATTAACCCAGAAAAAAAACCAGAAATAAAAGCGAGGACAGAATAAATAAGAGCAGCAGTGAAAAGCTTTTATTCTTTTGAATACTTTCAAGGTCAGCTCAGCTGGGCTTCTACCTGGATTTACTGTAATCTGACTGCACTTATTGCTAGAACAGATTTATTTGGTTTCTTGCTGGCTTTCCTAAGAAGCCAATCAGAAATGATGGCATCTCGTATTCTCCAAGGGAAGTGTGTGTCCAGCTCCATCTGCAGCAGCAAAATCTGCTCAGCAATATTCTACATATTCCACAGAGTTTGATATTAAACCAGGCTGTAACTACCACGGCACCAGTGCCCTGAGGACTTTGCCTTGGATTAACCACCTGGAACGCCTTCCTTGGAGCAGGGATTCCTCTGCCTGCTGGCAGCTGGGAAGTCTAGAGCAGGCTGAGGTCAAATTTCCCTCCTTTTATTAGAAATCCCCAGAAGATGCCTTCCAGGTACTGCAGGATGCTATGAGGGTGCAAAACACATCAGCTAGTAACTCACAGCAGGGTTAGAGTTAAAATCTTCCCAGGTCAGTGGACAGCAAACCATTCTACTGCCACTGGGCTTCATTTTCCCCCTTGCATTTTACCAGATTATTGTGTTTTCCACAGTGCTGGGGAAAAGGGAGCTGGAGGCTGTGTTGCAGGATTCCAGGAAGCCTGAAGCTGTGGAAGGAAGTGTGAGACTGAGCAGGGTGTGGGATGCTGGGGATGCCTAACTGTGAAAAACTGACAGGAGACATCATCACATCATCCAGTGTACCCAGCACAGCAGTCCCAGCAGCCTGGGAAAGAAGTAAGAAGGGGGAAAGGGAGATACCTGGACGTAACAGGAATACAGTCCTAATATACCAGAAATAAGGAACTTCATCCCTTTGCCTCTTTAATTAAAACCCCAAAACTAACAAACTTGTTAGCAGCACAATCCACCAATGCTGAGATTGTGGCACAACCCAAAAGCACAGGTTAAAAGTCTAATTTGACTGCTTGGTAATTTTCTTACATGTCAAGATAAGCATCAAATATACGTACCTGATGATGGAAATGTGGGAGATCACACCACTTAATGGTCTAGCAAGAGTCACTGAGCAGTGTAACTGGCAACTTGAGTGCTTAAAACCCAAATCAAACCCCAAAAAAACCCAACAAAAAAAGCCCAACCTCAACATACCAAAATAACTTCCCAAACATCCCAAATTTTGCCTTACATTTCTGCCTTCCTTTGGTGCTTCCCCATGATGGTCACAGGTTGTCTGTGCAGTCTGACAGGTGGTCACTAAGGATGTTGAGGCTATCAAACTATCCTCAAGATATTTTTCCATTTCCTTTCCTGTTCCAAGGGGAAAAATTCTCTCTTATGCTAGAAATCTCTCCCTCTCCAGACTGAGGTACTGCAGCTGGTTTATCTTGAAAGCTTCAGGGAAGAGACAGTATAAGACATCAGTGATGGAAGTTCAGAATTCAGGATGTGGGTGTTGCTTGGGGAAAGTTAGAGGATAAATCCAGTAATGGAGTTGAGGTATCTGGCGGTAAAAAAATTGTTCCTGCATTTTCAGGACAAGAGACTAACAACCCTTCCCTCACCAAAACTCAACCAGCACTCAACTCACAGGTGTCTTTTATCCTATAGAAATGTATTTTGAATATTGTGCTGTATTTACTGGGGGATCTGTTTGGATAAAGCAATTTACTGTGGGTTTATAAGGTGTTGGGAATTAATACCACTCCTGACCAGAGCTTGATTCCCTACAGTGCACTGAATCCTCAACCAATTCCAGCTACACCCTGACTAAGGAAAGAGATTTCCAAGTACAGCACAAAGCAGCAGAGCTGCAGAACAGCACATGCAATATCTGCTCCAACACTTCATCAGCCAAGGATCCTTTAGAGATGATCCTCTGCAGCAAAGGCTTTCCGTCACTTGTGAGGATTTAATTCTATCAGCAAAACCCTCTCCAACAAAAACCAGTTTCTCCAGTTCTCAGAAGTTAACAAGTGTTTTCCTGGCACAAGCTTTTTCTCCATAAATGTAAAAGCTGATTTCCTAGACATTAGAACAGGATCTTTAATTAATCTTTAATGTTGCCTTAACTCATTACCAAATCCCAGGACAAACACAGGCCTCATCCAAAAGCTCAAAATCACTGTAAAAACCTGAAGTTACGGTCTCAAACCAACACATTTCCTTTTTGAAATACAGGAAGAT